ATAGGCAAATAAAGAAGCTACGGTCACAAGAAATTGCATTCGTGAAAGTCTTCTGGAGAAATTATACCGTTGAAGAAGCTACTTGGGAAGTAGAAAAAGATATGCAAGCGAAGTATCCCCATTTATTTCAGTCTACAAGTATGCACTTGTTGTAAATTCGGGGACCAAATTTTTATAAGGTGAGGAGGATGTAATATCCCATGATTTTTAACCAAGGGTATATTAGTCATTTAGTAATTATCAAAAAAAAGAGATGCACAAAAAGAAAGAAAATTCAACCAAATCTAACAAAAAGAACTAATAAAACGAACAAAACAAAAAGAAGTATGTAAAAGGGCCTTACCCATCAGCAACGTGAGGGCATAGGAGAAAAATTAAAAGAAAAAGAAATAAAAGGGCTAAAGGGATTTTGGGTAAAAAGGGACGCAGTGAAACAGAAGCTTCAATTAGAGTAGAATTGAGATTTAAGAACAAAAAAAAAAAAATTAAAGAAGGCTCATCCAGGTAAGAGGCAAAGAAAGCAAAGAAGGGATTTTGTTGTCTCAGATTCAACAGGGCATAAGAATTAGAAAGGAGCGCTGGTTTAGTCCTTGTTTCGCAGAACTCCTACCCTAATGGGAAAGTAAATTTACATTCTTGAGTCTCAGCGATAAACTCCAGGTAATTACATATATTTTCCTCCTTTTAAAATAGTAGAAATTTTGTATACATGATTCTTATAGGACTGAGTAGATATGATTTTGAAATTGGATTAAGAGTTTAAATGATAAAGTTTAGAAAATTTGGGAAAAACTCATGAGACTTTTCCATGAATTAACTGGGTATATTAAATGAATTGGTTGTATTTAATAGATTTTGAATTGGTTTAAGTTAACTATAGCAATGACTTGGGATACTGAAATGGGTCTTGATATTCGAGTGGAATAAGAGGGATTAGTTGGGTTATTATAATTCGGCGAATTAGGAGTCAAATAACAAACCTCGAGGGTTGGGCATTCTAAATTAGCTTTGAATTAGCCTAAACATGGAAATTAACATGAGATCGCTATTATGTAATTATAGATTGATTGGAGGAATTTGTGCGAATTGCTCGAGGTGAAGCATTTGGTATTTCGGCACGAGTACTGTGAGTAGTAATCTTACCACAATTTATTTTTTATAACCTGCATGATTTATATATGATTTTGAAAATAAATGTATTACAGATGCTTTGAAATTGCATGTGAGACAAGTTCTTTACTTGATATGATACCGAACAGTTTACTTGAGATGTTTACCGATTAATCTAAATGTTTTTACCGTTACTAGATATGTTTTACCGTTACTTGAGATGTTACAGTTATTTGAAGTATTCTCACTGTTACTAGATATGTTTTGCTGTTACTTGAGACATGAATACTGTCACCGAAATAAAATTACAAGATTTGATAAGGAATGATATGCCCTTTATTATTTTAAAAATGCTTTTGTACGAGTATTTACTATTTACAAGAAAGAGTATAAATGGGAGGAGACTTTGAAGGATCCCGTATCTAATGGCGGGTTCGTTAGACCTAGTGCACCTTGTATTTACAGATTACCGATTACAGTTATAGCCCTCGCTAGTGGGAAGGTAGAACTAGCATACAATTACAGTTTTCCCTCGAGTAGGGACCTACAGTTATATTTGACTCCTTTTACGAAGGGGTCCATACAGTGATACAGATTACATGATCCTTCCTTAGAAACCTCCCAAACATAAAGATTTGATATGACACAGTGCTTACCGAGTCTATTACTGAATTGTTAAATTGATTTCTATTACAGGAAACACATGATGAGACTGACTATTATTACTGTTTATTTGAAAGGGCATTTTAATTTTATGATAGTTCCTAATTATTATTATACAGGCATGTTTTCTGACTTGTCCCCAATTAAAAAAGGTTGTGGTTAAGTGTTATTACTCACTGAGCTAGCGACTCACTCCCCGCTATTTTTTTTCCAGAGACAACAGTTGAAGGGCGAGGATTTCGTTAGTCAGACGCACAAGTTGATAGTTTCTGGTGAACCCCGCATTTGTTCGCGTGGGCGGAGATTTTATTTATTGTTATAGTCTTTTCTTTGAACTCTTAGAGTCGCTCCATAGTCAAATTTTTTAGTGTCTTGAGTATTCTTCGTTATTATAGATTTATGTTGAGTATCGCTCATTCTTATCAAATTTGGAGATAAAGTAGTATTTCTAGTTATTGGTGGGTGGACTATTAAAGGTAGATATTTATTTTGGTTAATTGATAAGGTCATTGTCATTTGAATTACTATAAGGATGTTTGGTTGCTGATTTGAGACAGGGAATTTTTTTTTGGATAGTCCAAAAACAGGGGAAACTCTGTCCGATTTTCTGTAAAATACCGATGAGGCTTACTTGGGGGCACTTTCTCCTAGGCGCCGGTCATGATCCTAAATTGGGTCGTGACAACGTTGGTATCAAAGCTTAGGTTATTCTTCTAACTAATGGAGCACATGGCGGTAGTAGAACCTCAATTATGGTTATGTAGCCGGCCATTCCCATAATCGTGATTCTGCGAGGGCGTGATAGGATGTGTCTTGTCTTTCTTTCTTATTCCTCCGCACGTGTATCGCGATTAGGGTCAAATAACTGAATCTATCATTACTTATCCTATTCGTGTATGGCTCGGACCAATTACCATATAAAAATGCTACATAGGTACTATACAAGACCAGTGAAAGGTTCATTGTGCCATATGAGGTGCTTTTCGATAAGATGCGTAATAGAGTCCATTTCGAAAATTTATACTAGTCCACCACTACAGCGATAGAGGAGTGCTATCACAAAAAGGTACTTACCTCCATGAAAAAAAAAAAAAAAAGAGATCTTTATGGATACAATAGATATAACAGAATAGGGGCTCTATAGTCCTCATGCACCTAGAAGATTATGGGGAACAACAAAATATTCTTAATAAAGTTCCTAAAGTTGAAACTACTAAGTTTACTATTTTTGATAGTTCAAAGGATCCTTAAAGGTTTTAGCAAAATACTTACCACGTTATGAGCTACAGGATATTTCATGAAGAGGTCTATGGAATAGGCAACTTTTAGACTAGAGAACATGGCGAATACATGAAATGCTACTGTACTCTTAGAAATGCCAACAAGAGCAACACAATTAATTTGGGAATAATTTCACTAAAGTGTTTATGAATCACTTCCTTCTTGACAGTTTGTGACGTGAACTTGCCTGCTAGATCATTTAAGAAATTGATTTAGACGTTGGGTATACTTACATATAACACCAAAATCTACTAAGTCCGACTAATTTAAATTCGCATCGGGTAAATTTCTTAAATTCTTCCAAGAAACTCAGATGTTATATCCTTACGCGGTGGCCATCACTTTTTTCCAAAGTCTTTGTCACCGTTAAATACTGATTAAGAATTTAAAAAATGACCAATCTCCGTTCTCTTTCAAATATCTATGCACAAAAATCAAAATCAACTTTGTCCAAACGAAAAAGTTAAGCATGTGGACTCTAGTAATTGCATTGTGGGCCTCCAAGTTTTGCTTTATGCGGATGTTTTGCTTTGTGTTTTTGTTAGTGTATATGTGCTTGTCACTTGTGCATATGTACATTATTAGAATTTTTCATAAACGATATCGATATTTTAAAAAATAAATAAAAGAATAAATTATATAGTAACAATAAATATTTTTTTTATATTTATATTTAATAATTTTTATTTTAGTTATTATCTCTATATGCATTTTTAATAAAAATTGGACGAAGTAATTTTACGTGACACCATTTGAGATTAAAAGTATATCTGCCCTGCAAATGTGTGTGTTTTGGGTGGGGGTGGGGAGAGGGGAGGGTGGTGAAGGTGAGTTATAAATTAAAAGCTATGTTAAGTAGTATATTGTCTTTATTCGTTAATAATTGTAGTTGGTAGAAGTGTCCTTTATTCTATAAAATTAAATAATTAGTTGCTAGATTTGTTCTTTCTTATGAGGCTTACTTTTTTCTTTTTCGGGAAATTAGTTGTTGCAATATTTTCGTTAGTTATGGTGTAAAAGAAGATTGAGAATCTTTAATTAATTTAAGATCAAGCATTATTCTTAAGTTGGAAAAGGGGGCATTAAGAGTATCCATAAATATGAATGGACATTTCGTGAGCATAAAAGCATGTAATATGTTACTGATTAATGTTTATTGTAAAAATTTATTTATAATTACTTTTACAAATGACATTATTATGTAAATACTTTTTATACTGTTAATGCATAAAATCATTTCTATAAGCAAGCAATGAGTCTGAAATATCACTAGTGAAAAGTATTTCATAAATGCTTTTAATTCCCTTTAATTCCTTGAGTTGAAAGAAGAAAGAACACCTTCCTATAAGGTTATTTCCGATTCATTTGGACAATTTTCTCGAAATATTTTTGACGGTGTTTATTAATTTGGAGGTTTTTCTTTTCTTGAAAAATGGGTGAAAAATTAACCTAAATAGTCGCTCAGCCAACCCCTTAAACTAAAAATAATCGGTGAGTGTATTTTGTGTGTATGTATATATACCGGCTACAAAAATATTTGTGTAAAGATCCTCTCCCTTTAAAATGACAACTATTCTCAGCAACTTTTTAGACGTTTTCACAAAAATTTTTACAAAAAAATTCGAAAACATATTTAGAAATTGAAATTTCCCAATAAGCTATCAAGTCTGCTTTAATATCTATTTTGCCTGTCTAATTCCTTTTGTTTCATTTGCACAAGGAGTTAAGGGGTTGACTTGAAGATCGAGGCCTTGACGTCAAAGTCGTTACATCAGATTACCTTAGATCACTTAGAAGTTGGAATCCTCTATTGCCTTGCTCTTTCTTTCATTATTCCACGAAACTTCCTTTACCTCTTTTTAATATTGAAAATAATTAACATTAGCTTTATACTCATTTAATTTGCCCTTTTGAGATAACACTGTATGACACCTTATGCTCAACCCTTTATATACCCTATACTACCAAACTTCTCTTCCTCAAATCATATCATCTCCTCTCTCTTTCTTATTAGTTGTATACTCTTTGAGATTTATTACACTTTCACAATAGAGAAATGGCAGCTAAAAGATACTTTGATGACTCTGCTGATCCTCATTCCAACCACTCAAATTACAAACGCATGAGAAAAACACCTTCTTTTGCTTCGTATGCACCCTCATCATTAGTTCTTTGGTTTCTTTTATTTTCGATATTTCAATATTTATTATCTTACCTTTTTTTTTTTTTGGCTTTAATTTGTAGTGTGATTAAAGAAGTGGTGATGGTGAATTTCTTAGATAACTTCTGCTCAGCCTTGGAACCCATGCTCCGACGAGTGGTATATTTTTAGACATTAGAGATATTTTATATGATGAATTTAAGTTATATACACTAATGGTGTATTTTTTTTTAATTATATATAATTGCTGTGATTTAACATGTTACATCAGGTTATGCAGTCAAAGAACCCGCTTGACTCTCTACCTAAATTAATTAATGAGTCTACACGCTATGAGTTCATGAATTCTAGTTCATCCTATTGTAATTAAAGAAATGTATATTTTTAGTCGCTTCTAAAAATAGCAGCTGACGAAACGTATAATTTTTTGTATATATGTATTATATACAAAAAAATATACATACTTTATACAATTTTTAGCTAGATAATGCAATTAGTTTCGGCCAACCGATCAATTTTATATTTTGCCCTTGTAATTACTATTCCTTATTCAATATCTTTGTTGAAATTATAGGTTCATGAAGAGGTGGAAAATGGACTAAGACGATGTTCTCGATCAATAGGGAGATCACCTTCATTAAGAATTAAAGCTATGGAACCATCAAACCTACGTTTGATATTCAACAAAAAGCCTTCTTTACCAATATTCACCAATAGCAAGATTGTGGATTCACATGGCCACCCTCTCCAGCTCCTACTTGTGGACGCAACCGGCGATTGCCTGGTTCCGACCACCTTAGCTTCTCCGATTAAAGTCGAAATTGTCGTGCTCGACGGCGACTTTCCTATCGGAGAAAATGAAGCAACTTGGACAAATGAAGAGTTCAATAAGAATATGGTTAAGGAAAGAGTTGGAAAAAGACCATTGCTTACTGGTGAACTTAATATAACTATGAGAGATGGTGTTGTTTCCCTTGGCGATCTTGAATTTACTGACAATTCTAGTTGGATTCGGAGTCGGAAGTTTCGGATTGGTGCAAAGGTTGTTCATGTTGGAAAGGGTCAAAATAATGTTCGAATATTGGAAGCCATGACTGACTCTTTTATGGTTAAAGACCACCGCGGAGAATGTAAGTTGTTATTTATTTTATACTGTCAGTGTATATAAAGTTGCTCCCATGCGACCAGGAGGTCACGGGTTTGAGCCGTGGAAACAGTCTCTTGCAGAAATAAAGGGTAAGGCTGCGTACAATAATAGACCCTTGTTGGTCCGATCATTCCCCCGACCCCACACATAGCGGGAACTTAATGCACCGGATTTTCCTTCTGTGTATATAAATATATTTCTCTTTAACCTGTTGAGTTACTTAGGCCACTTGAAGATGTTTTATGAACCTTTAACTGAAAACAAAATCACTTGAAAATCGGGGTAATATAATTTTTTACAAGTAACCTTTATATTTTAGGGTATATTCCTTGTGTTTAGGTGAAAAGGAAGAAGTGCCGGCGAGAAACATCACTTTGTTCAGTGATTTTTCTTGAGGCAAATAATCTAGATCTCAACTCTTAAGTCAAACAGTGACATGTATACCTAACCCTAGTTACATAATCTGTGCACTTTAACTAGTAAAATAAATAAAAAAGATTTGATCAGTTCTTTATATCTATCATCTAATACCAAGTCATATACTAGTATTAATTAACAGGTATAAATAGGGGTTTAAATAATTAATGTCTTGTTTGTCCATTGGTTAAGATATATAGTTCAAAGCATGTCATACTTGTTAGTTTGTCAGGTAAGGTATCTTTTAACTTGTCAATTCAATTACTTAATTATTCAAAAAATGTAATCATTATTTTCCCACTTTATGCTTATACAAAAGTACGTGAACACCTATCATATCTTTACAATAGTTCATGTCCTTTTTTTCTTTTTATCCTAAATCCTAATCAATCAATCATGTAAGCACGTCATCAAACCTAGTTGTACGTGCTTAAAAAGATCCTATCGATTAGATTCATGAAATCTAATGGAACATCATTATCCAGTGGTTCATTTCTATTTGGGACGGATATAGCCTTTCGGGGTTAACTGAATCTATTAAAATTTCAACAAACTTATTAATTTTAATATTAGTACTATAAGTTCAATACTAAAAATCTTAAAAGTTGAAAATACTATATTTAAATCATGTATTCACGTCATACATAATTCATATATTAAAATTAATATTTATGTTGTTTCAGTGTATAAGAAGCATTATCCACCAGCATTGGGAGATGATGTGTGGCGTCTTGAAAAGATTGGAAAAGATGGAACTTTTCACAAGAAACTAACTTCACATGGCATCAAGACGGTACAAGATTTTCTAAAGTTGGCAAATATTGACTCAGAAAAACTAAGAAGGGTACGTATTTCAAATTAATTAAAAATAACGTAACACCATTATTTCTCTAGGGACACAAATTAAAGAAAAAATACATTAAAATCACCAATAAATAAGTATAATTTCTAACAATATAGGGTTATATATGTATATATATTAAAGGTCAGACTTCTTTATATAAATCAATATATCTACGTAAAAGTTTTGGAAGTATTGCAAATCTTAATTTTGAACATATAATTTCAAAGAGCTCAGTATAATTAATTAAATTTAAATCATGAATTTATCTCTGACAGATACTTGGAAGCGGGATGTCGGAAAAAATGTGGGAAGTAACATATAGACATGCAAAAACTTGTGAAATGGGCACCAAATCATACATAGCGAGAGGAACTACCTATACTCTCTTCCTCAATCCCATATGTCAAGTTGTTAAGGCAATTATTAATGGGCAAATTTGCCACAGTCGAGAATTGCGAGGAATCCAAAGGGTAAGAAAAATTCTAGTTTTATTTTTTAGAATTTTTTTAAATATTTAACACCCTGTTAAATATTATATATGCTAAACTAAACATTTTTACTGATTTAAGAAATTTATTTATGCCTTCATATTAGGCCTACATTGAGAATTTGGTGAAGGATGCCTACATAAATTGGAGTTCTTTAGAAGAAGTTGATGGTGGGCTGGTCATGAATGAACAAGCTCTACTTACTCAAGGTATTTTATATGCTTATATTTTAATCGTTTCATTTTTTATTCGTTGTGTTTTTATCTAATTTGATAGTATAATATATAAACTTTGAGTAGTTAGCGAGCAATTATAACAAAGAGATACTTGATTATTTTCTATTCCCAATTGATACTGTTCTATATTTTAATCCTTTATTTTATAAGTTGTACTTGCTAAAGATGATATGACAAATATTCTTCGGCTAAAACCTCATGAATTTGGCTTTAAATAAAAATGAGAAAAGTCAACCCGTTTTACTTATATATTTTAGTGTATGACGTGTTTGCCACAAAAGACTAATTAATTAATACAGTCAAACATTTCTGTAACAGCCTTGTTTGTTCCGATATTTTTTTAGTTGTTATAGTGAAGTGCTGTTATATAGGACATATATTATAACATTACATAAAAATCGGTTCCGAGAAAAATTTGACTTTTTTATAGTGAATGGATATTATATAGAGATGTTGTTATAGAGAAATCTGACTGTACATCAATTTGACAATGTATTATACTTATATACTCATATTCTATAACACTTTTGTTTACACTGCCAGTATATTTTAACCGATTATATCAAATTAATTATGGGAGAAATTCAAAAATAGCCAGATTTACAAGTGGTCGTTCAAAAATAGCCCAGTTTCAAAAGTAATCGAAATTTAGCCACTTTCAATTAAAGATATATTTGAGCGAAAACACTGTTCAAAACTTAGAAAATACGCCAGTATATTATGCTGGAACTCCAGCATAATATGATGGAGTTCTAGCATAAGTACACTAGAACTCCAGCATAATATACTGGAGTTCCAGCAAAGTATACCGGTCCAGTATAATATGCTGGAAGTTCATACACAAGTGCTCGAATCTCCAGTATATTATGCTGGAACTTTCCGTGTGTTGGAGTTCCAGCATAATATGCTGGAGTTCATACACAGGTGCACCGAACTCCAGTATATTATGCTGGACCGGTCTCTGTTACAGCAAAATAGTGGCTATTTTTCATTGACTTGGTAAACGCTGGCTATTTTTGAATGACCAGTCCGAAAACTGGCTAGACCGTGCTATTTTTACATTAATTATTGTAAACATGGGCTAAGGTAAAATATTATTTGCGAGTTCGGAGGAACCCAATATCTTTTGCTTAGGTCTTATATATATTTGTATTGGGAAATTAGCTAAATATCTATAATTATTTAACTGCAAACCCAGTGATAAGTTTTATTGCAAATTCAGAACCTATAAACTTCAAATTCTGGCTACTGCAAGAACATAAAAGTTAAAGTGCTTGACAATTTATTGTATGTTGAATAGGAGAACCAAAGGTGCATCATCAGAATGCCTATCAACAGCAGCATACAATGCTAAGGAGTACACTTATGATTGCAAGTGGATCTGAGCAAGCAGTAGAGTACAATGATTGGAATATTGTCAATTCAGCCCATATTTGTTCCAATGGAGTTCGTTATATCCCAGAATCTTCTTCTGAAGGGGAATTACATTACCTATGAATTTTTAAAAAATCAAGAAAAAGGGAATCAAAGGGATGAATTTTACTGTCACGTTGATCTCGGGCTTAATTAAGTAAACTGACATGACATGGACAGTGATAAGTTATATAGTCGGTTCCATTTATGATTGAGGTGTACTTGTTGTATGTATGAACCCAATCCACCAAACGAGGGGCAAAATATATAGGAGTTGTGCCGCCCCTTTGTGAAAGGATGTGTGGTTTGGCAATATTATAAGAATTCTCTGAATTTTGTTTCTTTGTTTCTCTTTTTTTCCCGTGAAATCTTAATTCTTGATAAATGTTTGTAGAACGAAAAAATAGTTCTTGTAAGTATTTGGTGAATATTTCAAAATACTTTTAGTTTATTGAGTTTTAATTTGACAATAATTACTTCTGTAGAAACCTTTTCTTTTCTTGCCTAAATATATGGATCACTTCAAAAGACAATTTATTCCAGTACTATAAAAGTAAAAATAATTGTTTTTGAGGTTACTCTTGTAAATTATCCAAATACCTTATACAGTAAGGGATCATTGTTGGAAGGATTAAAAAATTAATCTCAGCATGAAATACTACATAATAAAAAGATAGAGTGTTTGGTTAGATGATTATGAAACTACGCATTTTTAAGGATGTGTTTGTACCGTCGTTGATTGTTTGATGTTTTGTGAATATTTTGTTAGTGGAAAAATAGTTTGTAAAAATTAAAATATCTCAAGCACATTTTACTTCAAAATATTTTTCAACCTTTCCCAGAACTTTTTTTTTGATCGCTCGTCAATTCCCCCTCCCCCCCCCCCGACCCACACACACACA